TGTCTGTACTTCATGCTTTGCAGGCATCGAAAAACTCCTTTCTTGTGAATTTGTATGTGGTAGCCTGGAACCTCCAAGCCAAGAGCAGTATTTGAAATTCTGAGGTGTCGACACATAGGTTATTACAAAGTGCCCCATGGCTTCTTCCAAAGTTGCATGTCCTGCTCATCTTCGTAGCACCTGACAAGTTCCTCCAACATCTACTAGGAAGATCTTCTCCATTAGACTTGGTCTTCAGTCCAGCATCTCCCAAACAATGTCTGCAGCAGACAGGTCTCAGTGGCAACCTCTTCTTTCTTGATCCCATTTACGTGGACACCCCACCTACTTGCCACAGGGTAGCACCTGTTCTCCATGGTAGCCTGCCCTTTGCTGTGTGACTTGCTCCTGGGGTCCCAGTCTCCATTCTTGCTACCTGGCTTCAACGAGAGATTATTGTACTTGGTGACATACTGACCCGTGGTAATGGTAATGTGACTTCTAGAGTGGCCTGCTCTGGGTCAGATGGCTTCACCGCTGCTGGCCCATGTACCATGCCATCAGCAAGCTAGGCATGGTAGCACATGCCACTTGGAGACTGAGGCAGGAACATTACTGTAAGTTCAAGGCCAGCCTGGGATACATAGTGAGTTCCAGGCCTGCACAAACTACATAGCCAGACCTTGCCTCAAAAGACAAAACAGAACAGCAGCAACAACAACAACAACAAAAAAACCACAGACACACAAATGCCATCATCCAGACCTTGCCTCAAAAGACAAAACAGAACAGCAGCAACAACAACAACAACAAAAAAACCACAGACACACAAAAATGCCATCAGCATAGAAGCCAGTCAATAGCTACTCCAGAGGTTACTGCAGTCAAACCCTTCCTGGAAATGATGGTGGCTCAGAGTATCCAAACCACTTATTGCCCTCTTTGCCAGGCTCCCAGCATCTACCAACAATGCTCCATCTCAAAAATAGTTAACTTTGATAAAATATAATTAACATTTCCTGTCTAAGAATTATTTGCTTACACCAAATTCACAAAGATATTCCTTGTTAGGATTCATGATTTATCTCAAACTCTGTGTGTATGGTATGCAGTAAGGAAAAGAACTCATTTTTTCCATTATTTACCTAATTATTGTAATACTCATTGTTGAAAATAATTTTTTCTCCCATTAGATTACTTTGACTCTTCTGTTGAAAACCAATAGGCAACATATCTATGGACTTATTTCCAGACTCCTTATGCTGTTCTGCTATTCTGTTTCCTTTCCTTTTACCAATACCATAGGACCTTCATATCATAGCTTCATTAGTCTTGAAATCAGGTAAGACGACTCATCTGACTTTATTCATTTTTTTAGTGTGTTTTGACCGTTCTCTGTCCTTTGCATTTTCATATAAATTTTTAAATGAACTTTCCATTCTTTATTTTTAAAACCTTTTTGGATTATGATTGGGCACAAGTGATGTTCTTAAAAACAGTACATCTTGGACTGGGGATTTAGCTCAGCAGTTCCACCATCTGCCTTGCAAGTGTAAGATCCCAAGTTTGATCCCCAGTACCAAAAAAAAAAAAAAACCAAACAAACAAAAAAAACCAGTACATCTTAAACCCAGGATATGTCTGTCTATTCTGTCTAGAGTAGGAGTAAGTCCCTACTACACTTTGGATGTGGAATGTCCTCCACTTGGTCCCCTGCTCGGTGCTCCTGGAAGGCAGTGGAATCCTGAAGAGAAGAGATGAACTGGGAGACACTCAGGTCCCTGGGGGATGCTCTTCAAGCAGACACTGGAGTCCTGGCCTCTTCCTCGTTCTCTGTGGTGTTTCCCAGTCACGAGGTGAGTGGTTTGTTCCATCACACACAACCTGCCATGATGCACTGCTTCACTGCAGGCATAAAAGCACCAGGGCCAATGGGTCACAGATTGGGACTTCCAAAACTGTAGCCAAAACAAACCTTTTTTCCATATAAATTGATCATCTCATGTGTTTGTTATAGTGACATAAAAGTAGTTCAGTTACCATTTAAGTCTTCTTTAATTTTGTTCAATGGTGTTTTATAATTTTAGTGCATAGATCTTAAAAGTCTATTAAATTTTTCTAAATATTCTGTTTCTGATACTATTTGTTAAGACTTTATGATAGACTCTTGAACAACAATTAGAGGCACAAAAGATATAGAGCTCATTTTTAAAAATACTTCTGAGTTTCTAGCTGGACAGGAGATTGAGGTACCATGAAAGCTAATACAAAGATGATGCTAAGAGGATGTTGCAAAGCAGGATATGTGTAGGTGTTATCTTCCCCGTAAAGAACGTAAGAGGAGATCTGACCAGATGGGGCAGAGCAGAGGTTTGAGGGAGTTGGTGACTCTGTACTTCTTGATCTGGATTAATATGTATGCTCAATTTGAGAAAATTCAACAAGGGCTATAATATGCATTTGTAAGACAATTGTTTGTTTTTTTGTTTTGTTTTGTTTTGTTTTGTCCTGGGGATCAAACTCGGGCTCTTGTGCTTGTGAGGCAGGCAGCGGAACCCCTGAGCTAAATAGCCGGCAAGACAATTCTGAAATAGTGAGCTGAAAGAATTTTTGGTGACTCTGTACTTCTTGATCTGGATTAATATGTATGCTCAATTTGAGAAAATTCAACAAGGATTATAATATGCATTTGTAAGACAATTGTTTGTTTTTTTGTTTTGTTTTGTTTTGTTTTTTGTCCTGGGGATCAAACTCGGGCTCTTGTGCTTGTGAGGCAGGCAGTGGAACCCCTGAGCTAAATAGCGGGCAAGACAATTCTGAAATAGTGAGCTGAAAGAATTTAAAAAAAAACTCATGAGCTGATTAATGCATTTGGTGCTGGCCTCAGACTAGGAGCGAACAGTTCCCACTGTAGTTCCTGAGATCACAGAGAAGAAAGTCTATTTTATAGTGGTACAATACTGTATCTGTAGTAATGTTCATTCATCACTTTTTTTTTGGAGACAGGGTCTCACTTTGTAGTTCAGGTTGGCCCTGAACTCATGATGTAGCCCAGGCTGGCCTTGAACTTGTGGCAATCCTCCTGTCTCTGTCTCCTGAGTGCTGGGATTACAGGCATAAGCCAACACACCCAGCCTTCAGCATTCTTTAACCTTTCTTTTGAATCAGCTGAAATTGGGTCTTACTGTGTTCTCACTAATTTCTTCATGAGTGAATGAGCTCAATACAATTTTGGTATGTGTTCATTATATATACATAGAAGGATCATGACTTTACCTTTTCTAAAAATTATTGTTTAACAATAGACATTTTCTTAATAATATATTTATGAGTAAAAGCATCTCCAGAAAATGCCATTTTTTGTTGATCAGCAATTTAGTCTTAAGCAGAAACCTCTCTCTCTCTCTCCATATGAGAGTTCAACACCTAACTTATAAGTTCAAGGACTTGACTTTTTGTGCCCCAATGGAAGAAACTATTTCAGTTAGAAGTGAAGGATAAGGTAGACACAGAGACAGGAGCTTGAAAATTCCCAGTTCCACTTCTACCTGGGAGACTCAAAAATATACCATTGTCTCTTTATGAGTGTATAACTCAGTAATTGAATACTTGTCTGGGATGGAGAAGCCCAGGGATCAATACTCAGCACCCCTAGGTAGAAAAGATAGATATGAAGTCTGTCTGTGTCTCTTCCTCTACCCTCTTACTTTTCCCTTGTCCCCAACACTACCAAGGGAGAGAGATTTGGAGGATCATCTTCCTATCAGTTACTACCATTCTGTCTGTGTCTCTTCCTCTACCCTCTTACTTTTCCCTTGTCCCCAACACTACCAAGGGAGAGTTTGGAGGATCATCTTCCTATCAGTTACTACCGTATATCTTATATTTGAACCGAACAGGTAAGAAGAAAGTTGGAAAAGGGCCCAAAGTCTCACACATCTTCAAAACAAAATACATTGTTCTGAATTCTAGTACCGAACAGGTAAGAAGAAAGTTGGAAAAGGGCCCAAAGTCTCACACATCTTCAAAACAAAATAAAGACATTGTTCTGAATTCTACAAGCTTAGGTTACTGCCATCATCATATTTATCTAATTTAGAATCACTTATAAAACCTGTTAAAGAGGCTGGGGATGTTGTTCAATGATGGAGTTTGTATTTAACATATGTAAAGCCCTAGGTTGGATCCCCAGCAGCACAGAAAACTTGTTACAAACCTTAAGTTTTGCCAGGCTTGTAATCTGGGAGGATGAGGCAGGAGCATCACAAGTTCAAGCTCGGCTTAGGGAATTTAGCGACTTTATTGAGACACTGTCTCAAAATAAAAAATGGATTGGGGATGTAGTTCATGCCATGACCCTGGGTTCAATCACCAGTACTGAAGCAAAACAAAGCAAAACAAAACAAAACAACCTTCAGTTTTCAGCCTGGTGTGTAGCTGGATCTGACCATCTCCTTCCAGCTTTGTCACTGGTTTTACCACATAACCTTTAGAACTGTTTCTTAACTTGTAAAATGGAGGTCCTATGTAGTGAAAGCATTAAATGAGATAAATTAACATACACAAAAGCTCTGTGCAGACTAATAACGCTATAAAAGTTTCAGTTGTTATCTCTGTTTCTTTATTTCTAATGGAAATAATAAGGGATCTACCATATAAGTTCTTATGAACTGAAAACGAATTAATAAACATTAGCAATATTCACGACACAGTGCTTAACTAGTATTAAGTTGTATTGCTATTATCCGTGAATGCTCAGGAGGGAAGGAGCATGTCAGATTTTAAACATCTTTTCTCTTCCGTCAAAGGCTACAACCGGTCACCCAGTAGGAACTCAGGACATGTTGGCAGGGCGATTATGAATAGGAAGAAAGTCCTGCTCCTACACCACTCTGGGCTCTACCCTACCCATCCTGCCCCAGTCAGGGCCTCCGCTAGGGGCGACCGCGAGAGGCCGGAACCCAAAACTTACGGAGCTGCGGCACCCGAACCTCTGCGCGCTTGGACTCAGGCGCCGGAAGTGGCGGGGGCGGGGCCGGCTGTGTCGTGGGAAATTGGCTGAGCCGCGAAGATGCTGCTGGACTTGTCTGAGGAGCATAAGGAGCACTTGTCTTTCCTGCCGCAAGTGGACAGCGCGGGTAAGAGAGGCTAGGGCCTGTTCTGTAGGCTGGGGAAAACGCCAAGAGGAGTAACAACTGTAACAACACCTGGCGCTCATGGCCTCCTAACTTCCGTTGCAGTGGTCGCCGAGTTTGGGCGGATTGCGGTGGAGTTCCTGAGGCGAGGATCGAACCCTAAAATCTACGAAGGCGCTGCCAGTAAGAAGAGCAGGAGCCGGGCTCTGCAAACTGCGTTCGGAAGTGCAGGCTATTCTTTGTCGCCCAAGAAAGGAAGAGACTTTTAGGAGTCCTAGTGTCTTGTTCCCATTGTAACAGATTAAAACCACCAAAGTTCCTCAGTTAGGGCGCTAACCCTGCCTGTACCATAAGTAGTTGAGATATTCAAAGCATCAATTATCAGTTTCTTCGTGTTTAAAATGAACACAACATCCCCTGCCTTTCAGAAATATTGTGTTTAACAAGCACTGTGTATCAAAGGCTTTAGAAATACATGGATCAGGTGCAAATATTATGCAAGTGTTTGGTTAATAACTATCCACACAACTGCTTTTGCTGAGATATTGTTGTCTTCCCCTTGCTGAGGGCAGACTCTGCGATTAAGTCAGTCCTTGTTGAGTTCCTCTTCTGCCAGGCTTGAAGAGCTTCGCGTTCAAGAGAAGGACTGGGCAGCCGGTACTGGCCTCCACAATTGGTTTTGTTATGGTTACATGGTCGGAAATATGGGAAGCAACTGGGAGGGAGTACAGTGAGAAAGAGCAGGAGGTTCCAGCCAGCTTACTCTTGTATTGCAGTGTTTGGAAACCTGGTATAAATGAAAATATTTTAAACAGTTTGAATAAAAGGTTAAATATCACAGAATGATTGATTTGTTTATTTTTCCTTTTCTTAGGAAAACTCAATGTGAGTAGTGACACTGTCCAGCATGGCGTGGAAGGACTAACATATCTCCTCACTGAGAGCTCAAAGCTTATGGTAAGGACTTCTGAAAACTGCTTTGTATTATCTGAATCCTTAAAAAAAAATAAATAAAAAGTTTAGTGCGCTTTGCATTATAGTTGTGGCAGGTACCTATATGTTTTAATAATGTTAATGGTGTAATTACTTTTGTGAAAAATACTTAAACAGTGACTTTAACATATGCTAATACGGGGGTGTAGCTCAGTGGTGCCACACCTGCCTGGCAAGTGCAAGGTCCTGAGTTCAATCCCCGGTACCACAGGGAAAAAAAATTGCTGATATGAATACCCCTTGCTGGTATAAATTAAAACTGTCTAATTCTGCATGTTGTCAAAACCATATGCTATAGTGTATGTATACTAGGAGAAGAAAGAATGAAATTATTTGTTTTCTGTGCATGTCAGCAGTTTTTGTCATGATGGAGAACAGGCAAAATTGAATATATTCTTTTCTTTTATACTTTTTAAATATTTTTTATATGCCAGTAACTCAGGTGTTGGAATAGTAGGCAATGGTCATCTCTAAGAAATTTTATAGACAAAATTAGGGATATCATATACATCTTTTGTGTAATATTTTAGTCTTTACTAGACAAAGTTAACAGTTTGATCTGTTAAAATTAATTTACTTTTAGATATCTGAACTGGATTTCCAAGACTCTGTTTTTGTTTTGGGATTCTCTGAAGAATTAAACAAATTATTGCTTCAGCTTTATCTGGACAACAGAAAGGAGATCAGAACTATTCTGAATGAATTGGCACCTGACCTTCCTAGTTACCATAGCCTTGAATGGCGACTGGATGTACAGGTATTTTTTTAAAAATATGACTGAGAATATAAGAATCATTTAAGGTCTGTGTCCTATTTATTGTATTCCTTATCACCTTACCCAAGCTCTGGTTTGAGACTTTGGGATTTTTTAATGTTCATTATCACATCATTTCACAAATAGTTCACTTTATTTTATTTTATTTTTAATGTGTTCAGCCTGTTTAATTTGCAGTTTTTAACAACTTGGTTGTTCTTGAAAAGGAAATGGTTATGTGGATTTTGTCACTGATACTTAGCTTTTTGAAAACATTTATCTTTAAATATAAAATGCATATAGGAAAGTACACAGATCAGTGCTCAGTAGATTATTTCTCAATAGATTGTCACACAGTGAAAACACCTATGAAATGAGCACAATTATGACTGTTATACCAGAAAAGCATTCTCCCTTTCTCCAGTCTCTTAGTACCCCTTTTCACTTTCCAAAGATAACTAGCATCCTGACTTCTTTTTTTTTTTTTTTGGTGTTTTGAAACAGGGTCTCACTATGTAGTTGGGACTGACCTAGAACTCACTATATACCTCAGGCTGGTCTCGAACTCACAGCGATCCTCCTGCCTCAGCCTCCTGAGTGCTGGGATTACAGGCATGCGCCACCACGTCCAGCTATTTTTTTTTTTAATTTTTTATTTTTTCATGACTTTTAACATAAAGATTTTACCTGCCTTTTACCTTTCTGTACATGGAGTGATTCATTAAATATTCTTTTGCGTCTGGCCTCTTGTACATTATTTTTGTGAGATTCATCTTTCAGTTTTTAAATCCACATAAGTAAGTAAAAGAAAGAGCCAGACTCAGTGGCATGCACCTGTTGTCCCAGCCACTCTGGAGGCTGGGGCAAGAGAATCTCTTGAGCCTAGAAGTTGGAGACTGACATGGGCAAAAGAGGAAGACTTTGTCTCAAACAAATAAGTAAATGAAAGGAATTTTTCAGACTGTTGCATGTAGCTCTTTATTAAGTGGTGAAAGATAAATGAATAAATGTTTATGGAATGTCATCTGTTTGCTAATTAGAGATGTACTTAGAGATGGGACACGAAAAGAAGTACTTTCTCAGCTGAAAAAGATGTTATCGTTTGGTAAGGTATTCTCAAAATAACTAGTAATAAAGACAGTTACAAGGTTTTGAAGAGGAAGAATAATAATTCCATAAATGAAGGTGCCAAGTGACTGTTTCAAAACAAATTGCATATCATATGATTCCATTGTGCAGGCATGAGCCAGTAAAGCTTTTACAAAAAAAAAAGAAGAGTGAAATTTTAGAAGGATAAGTGATTGGAGAAATCCATAGTAAATATTTTTGTCAGAGGAGGCAGCATGTGATGCAAAGGCCCATATGAATATGAGAATGAGCATATGAATATGTGGTACACTGCATTAGTTCTCAAACTTCATTGTATATTGGAATAACCTGGGGAGCTTTAAAATAATGCTGATGTGTATGTTCCACTCCCAGAGGTTCTGATACAGAGTTTCTGATTTGTTGGTATAAAGTTTGACCCAAGCATCAGACTTTTTAAAAGCATCATTACCTTTCTCTTAGTTAAGACTAATGTGCAGTAAAATTTGTGAACTAGTATCACAGTGGATTCTTTATGATTTGAATTGAGATAATGTGGTTAAAACAGGTGGTAGACTTCAGACCTGGCAGAGCAGACAGTAGGAAGTCCTTGTAGATTCTTCGATAAGAAAGTAACATTAAGTCAGTCATTTAGGAAAATTAACCTAGCATCCTTGGGCAGACCACAGTGAAAGTGGGATGTGGAAGTAATGAAGCATGTAGGCCTTTACACATTTTTTTCCCCTCTATACGAAATGCTTTTTTGATCTTGCCATCACCTCTTGACTCTATTCTTTGTTACCCTTTTAAGCCTCAGTTTAAATCAAGGCTTAGCAAACTGTGGGCTATAGGTCAAGAGTGATCTGCTACCTGTATCTTTAAAGTCCTATTGGGACACAGTCATGCTTATTTGTTTACATTTTATCTGTGGCTATTTTCAAAGTGCAAGGGCAGAATTAAGTAGTTATTCTAGCAACTTTACGATCTGCAAAGCCTGAAATACATATTATCTGGCTCTTCACAGAAAAAAAAAAATTTGTTAACCTTTAAGTGATGCCTCCCTCTGGGAGAAATTCCCTGTGCTACTATTCAACCAGTTAAGTCTGGGCGGTTTGTTTTTCTCTTTGTGGAAAGTGTGTTTCTTCTTTTAAAAAGTCCTTTCACTCGCACATGTTCCCACAGGGAACCGTAAACTCTGTTGTAGCAAGGATCATACATGTCTTGTATATTCTCTCTTCAAAGCCTCAACATCTCATCCATACCCTATTCACCTAGCTGTGGCTTTGTTTCCTGTTTGACTAAGAAAAGAGAAGAGGGCACGGGATTTAGCTCAGTGACACCGTGCCTGGCTCACAAAGTCCTGAGTTTGATCCCTGGTACAAAAAAAAAGAGAAAAGAAAAGAAATCAGAAGAAGACTAACCTGTTTCTCCTACCACATCAGCCTGCATTAATCTCCACTTGCTGTGCCTTCACTCCTGTCACTATTAATGGAAGGCCTAAGCTCGTACGTATGAATAACCCTTTCCCTTGCAACTCATCCCCATTTGCCCACATGAGGACATAGTTTCAGCAGTTACTCCTTCTCTTTTCTGCATTATACTTCTGTTACCTCTTTACTGTTACCCTATAGCACACATTCAGTAACCCAATCTTGAGTCCCTATACCCTCTGAGTGCCATACCATGTTTTTTGTTACCTTTTACATCAAAACTCCTTGAGCCGGGGATTTAGCTCAGCGGTTCGGTGGCCTGCCTTGCAAGCACAAGGACCCGAGTTCGATCCCTGGTACCAAAAAAAAAAAAACTCCTTGAAAGTGTTATCTATCTATCTGTTCTCCCTGCTTGTTCTCTCTTGACCCATTCTGACTAGACTATTACCATTGTACTGTCAGAAGTTAATCAAGGCTATTGCCTTCTAGTTTTCCTGCCATTCTGTATATTAGCAGCCTTTGTCATAGTTATTCACTCCTTACTACTTGACACTACTCTCTGTGGCTCTCAGTCAGCCTCATCAGCCCTCCTTCTCAGTCTCTTACTGATTGTCTCATTTTATCAACCTTTAAACACTGGACTGCCCCAGAGGTCAGTTTATATCCTAGGTCAGGCTGCCTGCAGACGTAGACTCTTCTCTGATGCATGCCTTCTTGCCAGTTACATTAAATACAGTATATGACAAAAGTTTATTAATACTGCACTGCAGTCAGTGTCTGTGTGAGCATATACAATGACACACGTAGAAAAAGGTTGAAAAGAATGGTGGTAAGAAGGAGGAGATGATTACGGTGGAAGTGAAGAGGAAATCCTCAAGATACAAATGAGTTATGTGAGTGACTGAAATTGCAAGATTTTATAAGAAATCTATGTCGATCATTTGCATGATATTAAGGAAGAAAGAAGAAGGCCGGGGATTTAGCTCAGTGGTTCTGCCACCTGCCTTGCAAGTGCAAGGTCCCAAGTTCAATCCCCAGTAGCAAAAAATAAATAAATAAGATAAAAGAAGAAATAAGAGGACTAGACACAGCAAAACAAGTCACAAGAGTGGTTCCACTGCCTGCCTCAGAAACACAAGGTCACAAGTTCAATTCCTGTTACAAAAAAAAAAAAAAAGCAGGTGATACTGTGACCAAGAACTTTATTTGTGAGAAGGCAAAGGCCTGTATGCCAATCTCATAAATAAATGGCTAAGTACATAAATGGGAAATGAAGAAAGCTTCAAGCCAAGCAGGGCATGGTTTGATAACTTTAAGAGAAGTGGCTTCCTTGGGGTTGTGAGGTACAGAGAGGCAGCAGCTTCAGATGCTAAGGCAGCTGAGATGTTTACTATTGAGTTCTAGAGGCTCATGGTTTCTGAGTGTTAACCTGCCAGAGCAAGTTTTTAACTGAAATGAGATGGGGCTTTTTTGGAAAACACTGCCAAAGAGGAGATACATTACAGAAGAAGAGAATGCAGTGTCCAGTCACAAGCCCAAGAAAGACCATTTCACGCTCTTGCTTTGTGCTAATGCAAGTGGGGACTTCAAAGTCAAGCCTCTGTGTATCATTCCGAGAATTGATGAGCCTTCAAGAAATACAAGGTACAGAAGAACCAGATAAACATCTGGAGGTCCAACAGCAAGGCTTGAATCATGCATATTATTGAATGGATCAGTGAGATCTTCAGTCCTGTGGTTTAAAAAAAATATAGATAGATAGATAGATAGATAGATAGATACATAGATACATAGATAGATAATCTTTTAGAAAAGAATTTTCTGGTGCCAGGTATTTTGCTCAGTGGTTCCGTCGCCTGCCTTGCAAGCACTAGGACCTGAGTTTGATCCCCAGTACCAAAGGAAAAGAATTTGCCACCGAGTGCCTTGTTGGTAATGGATAATGCTCCTGCTCATCCTCCAGGCTTTGGAGTACTCACTGGAGCAATTGGAGTTCATTAAAGTCAAGTTCCTTCCTCCCAACACCACTCACAATCCTCCAGCCCATGGATTAGCCGGTCATTTCAAATTTTAGTTTTACACCAAAGCACTGTTTCAGCAAGGCTTTGAGGTAACCAAAGGAATAAACCATACCCTCCAAGAGTTTTGGAAAATCATTTCCATATTGTGAACTACCTCATCGTTAAAGCCTGGAATGGAATCACCAAGAGAACCCTCAATTTTGCTTGGAGAAAACTGGTTTGAGTTCTTGGATATGATTTAGAGGGCCTTGCCCATGAACAGAACCTGCCAGTTGCTGATGAAATTGTGTCCTTAGGGAAGACCATGGGGCTGGAGGTAAATGAGAATGGCACGCAGGAGCTGGTGGAGGGACATAGCCAGGAGCTGACTACTAAGAAACTAATGGATCTGCATTGCAAGCAACAGCAGATAACCCTAAGTTATGGAGGAGATCTTATTTACAAAGGAGGAGAAAAGGGTAGAGGA